TCGTGTATGCGGACGCGAAGTGATAAGCTAAGCTATGTTTTTTCTTTAACACTAACTTTGATCTCCCCATTCCTAACAAAGTAGCCAGACCCTCAGTCTTTGTTCAATAAAACGGTGGCCGGAAGCGTACTGCTGTAGAAAATTATGTTAGCCCTGGAATAAAGAGCATTGAGAAAGAAACGGGTATTACTCTGTCTCAGTCAAAAATGAACAGAAAGGTACTTCACGAACCTCGGAACCAAACCAACACAGAAAGTGCGCCACGTGATCAGACGGTATTGCGCAGCAGTGCGAAAAATGTAAGGTCATGTGGCACGCTCACCGGGCTGGGTTGGCTGGGATGAATCGTAACGTTTGCTGCGGTTCATTGAAGAGAAAAATTAGATATAGCTATAAATAAGAAATTATAAACCAAATCGTGTAGGAGATTCTCATGGAACTCGCAGCATTTTGCACCGTCTTTTATGGCGTAAACGCTTCTTCGTTAAAGGGGTCTGGAACTGTTATGGAACCTCCATGAATCTTTGTCGACTTCCGTGAGGTCCTTTATATGGCTTCTTCCGTGAGTGCTTTTTTGGAATTCTGAAGATGCTTCGGAAGGGTACTGCGGGGGGTTCACGTAGTGGTCGACGGTCACGCGTGACCCCACGGATCATGGGCACTTGACCGTGCGACCAGCAGGTTCGTTATTTCTAGTGTGGCTACGTGGTGGACGAAAACCGATGGGCCATGGTCACGTGACCCCCACCCACAAACAAACGACGCTTACGCATGAACATGTGGCCAGCAAAGGTGCGTTATTATCAGTATTGTCAGGTTGCTTCCGACTCAGTCACGCTACCATGTGTGGCCATCAAAGGTGCGATATTTCTTATGTGGTCACGTGGTGGACGGGACTTCACGGGCTATGGTCACTTGACCTCAGTGACGATGGACAGGTGATCCCTTATGATCATGACCACGTGTCCGTGCGACCACCGAAGGTGCGATATCTTATGTGGTTGCAACCGCTACCCCCTCGACAGGCCGACCGACGTGAAAACTGAGAAAGTTTTTTTTTAACTTTATGATGTGTGAGGGCAGACATTAACATAAGCTCACGACGTTTTTGTTAGAGTATTTGAAGGCCTTGAGGAACACAGGCTCTAATCATTGTAGTGAGGTCATGCTATATGATCAAATTTTAACGACTGTGTCTGTTTAAAGCAATTAACGGAATAGGACCAAAGATTGCATACTTCAGGAATATATCGCATATTTACTCGAATTAGTTTTTATACTAGACCTCGGCGTTTGGACAAAATCAAAGATTCGGGAGTTCCGCTCGTTTCAGCTGAATTTACTGTGGAGTTATAAAGTCGTTCCTAAATCCTCCGATTTCCTCTTCTTACTAGCAGGAACCAATCTCGCTCGGTGGCCGCTGTGTCAGCGGAGTAGTACTCACACATTAGAATAAGAACGGCGTCGCATTGCACTTTTGGAACTACCTTTCTGATAGGAGTATCAGAAAGTTACGCTGGAATTATGCGGAAGTGAAAAAGGCAATATCATTCATGTTGTTGACAGAACAACATTTGTATTTTTCCACACTTACGTGTTTTTTATTATATACAACGCACATGCGCAGCAGCCTGTTTCTTGAAATGTGAATATTCTTCACAATCTCGGTGCAGCTGTCCTCACTACTGCTCTTATGTCATGCTCCAAAAACGTGGTGGCGTGTGCAAATTTCTGATAAGTACTAAGAACTCCTGATATGGTCATAACGCCGTTTTGAGCTGAATTGAGGGAGTTTGTCACGTGGGCCTGAAAGCTGAGGTGAAGTATTACATAGCGAGCGAACGTCAAAACAAACGAAGTGTCTGGTTACTCGAAAGGCAATCTCGAGTCCTCGGCCACATATTTGTGCGAACTTCTCCCCGCCATTTAAATATTAATACCCCAAGGCGAACTGTAGGTAATAAATAAACAAAAATAATAATGCCCAAGGGCGAACTGTAGGTAAGAAATAAACAAAAATTAACAATAAACAAATGTATTTCATGCATTTCCTGACTTTCTCACGGAAAGCGTAGCCACAACTTTATTTATTCTTGAGCGCTGAAAACGTCTGCCGCGGAAGAGGTATGTAGCACTAATGTAAAAAGTGATGACATGTGAATAAGCCCAATAGTGACACACAAAAAACAAAGATACAGTTCAGAATATTCCTTCGACGGCAGACGAACGTTTTGTGATAATCGGAATAAACGTGCTTTGATAAGTAAGCCCTTGGGAGCAAGAACACAATGTAAGGGTTACAATAGCTCAACAACAGAAGAAAAAACTCAGTTTGTTGAGTGCCAGCCTGGTGGAAAGAAACTGTTAACCAGTGCACCGCGCAACTTTTTGCGATCTGATATGGTGTCAATTATTGTCGGAAAGATCGTTTGAGTTCTGGATGGCACGAGGAAGTGCTGAGGTTTTAAAAGGATGGATGCTGAACGAAATATTCGCTGGAAGCTTTCGCTGCTTTTTACGAAAAGAATCCGGTGGTTCTTAATAAAATAGAAAGAAAGAGAGGCAGAGAGAGAGAGAGACAGACAGAGAGAGGGGGGGGGGGGAGCAACGCTATAAAAAATATCAGGACGGACTTAGCCTTGCCGTTGGAGCTGGCATTGCCCCGCTTGGCAGTGGTTCCAAAAGAGGTGAACTGGACTGACCGAAGTTTTGAAGGAACCGATGAAGTAAGCAAAAGAGCGAGATTAGTCGACGAGTCTGGAGAGGATGAATCAACTTACATTGCCTAAGATCTGACACGCTAATAAATCGAGAATGAGACTATATGAATAGCGCGGTACAGTTTTAGACGGGTTCTGAATGCGTAATTCTGTACGTTTGGTGATATCATTAAGTATTGTAGACTAAGAAAAAGAAGGTGCAAGCTTCCGGAGACTAAATAGACACGGAAGAAACTAAGAAAGAGGAAGGAGAGAGCGCTCGCACTGAAAGGATCGAGATGGCGGTCGGGTACAGTTCAACGATACCTCCAAAATAAATAATTCATTATTTCCTTCTATTTTAACACAGTTCGCATAATTAAACCGACTTTTTATTTGTATCGTCACAGTGGAGATCCTTCCTCCATTTACTTAATAAAGGCTTCTAAATATATTAGGCGTATTCCGGTTTCTGTGGCGGACGTGAGTACTATAAGTATGCTTCTGTGTTTTCGGACAAATTCGATAAAATCGAAAAAATACTTCCGGTAAAATATTTTAATATTTATATTTACCCAAAAAACTCAGATTTTTTAGGACCGCCAACTGCTATGAATCCTACTGGTCTTAATATTTTCCAGGGATCTTCGAACAAGTTTTGCTCTACTTCTCTATATCTAATATTTATTTATTTATTTGAAAAACTGCAGGCCTTTTTCAGGCCCTCGCAGTATCAACTTTCGTTTGTATGATCACAAAGAACTTCCGTTTAGCTTCTATTTTAAAAAAGGGGAATCGTCGAACACGTTTCTCATTGAAAAGGATACTTTTACTAAATTCACAAACTGCTGTTTTCAACCTTTCGTTCACTTCACCGAAAAAGCCGAAAAACTCTGTACGATGAAAGAAAGCTCCAAAGAACTCCGAATTTATGGTAAAAAATAAGCACTAAACAACACTCCGCGATTTTAAGCAGAAATAAACTCCGAAAACGCAGAATCCTAATTATAAGCTGGATTTCGTATATGTTGGTGCAGCTTTTAGATTTCGTTATAACTTATAGGTAGGGTTCCGTATTTTTGTGTATTCTTTCTTAAATTTAAGGGTGTCTTTGGGTGTTCATTTTTTCAAAGTTCTCTGTTTTCGGTATCTATTTCTGGTGTCGACCAGAAATCAGGGTTTATCAGGGCTTACGTCATAAAAGCTATTGCACATCTATCGCGTTTTTACAACACACAATGCTATTCGCGCCAGTTATCACTAAGTGGCCCATGTAGAAACAATAATTGCAGCAGAAGGAAGCAGCCTCGCGGAAAAGGGCCGTTTGTTTTCGGGGTCAACAGAAATAAAGCAATTTTTCCAGTTAACCTGGGGTTTCATTTAATTCAAAAATTTCAGTTCGGAGTTTTTCACTTTTACCAATTTCAAGAAAAATCCCAAGAAAAAGGAAGCCAGACATCAGCACAGCGAGTGGTCATACCAAAGAGAATATTTCGCTCCTGATGACTTCAGCGGAGGCAGTGTAGCGATACGATGGTTGTGGAGTTCATGAAAGCCTAATTTAGGCAACACAAAATATGGATCCTTTTTGTTGTAGTTTACTCGACACACTCGCCAATCTGCAAACAACTTTCCAAAAATATCGCGTATGTATTGTCGGGTAGTTTTTCGAATACTTGTTCGGAATTCTTCCGCAAATCTGACTTTTTTGCTTCCATATCGCTAGATATGAAAACGCGGAATAATAGTGTTATCGACTTCTTGCAACCGGGAGGCGCTGATACGGCGTGCTCGTCCGCTCTTTGCGCCCGTCTTGCGTTTGTTTGCCTCAAAATGCGCTCACAGGCTGCTTTTACACTCTCCCCCACCACACGCACACACACACGCGCGCGCGTTCACACGCACACGCGCACGCACGGACGCACGCACACACTGACACACACAAACAACCCGTCTCGTCGAATTAACCACCAACACTGGCGCGGGTTTTACTGCCGCGTCAGCACGCTCTCTGCGTGTTCTTTGTGCTGTCCATCAATTGATCTTCCCCCTTTCTGTAGTACTGTTTGCGAAGCTCTGATAACGTAGCTCTATTTTCTATTTTTCACAATTTTATTCATTGCACGCGGAACGCATTTCGGTTTGGCGGGAATTTGCACACGACGTAAAAGTTAAAGGTGAATACGCCACGTGTCGGTAAATAAGTGAACTAGAACAGCTTGTCACAAATTTCTGGCCATGCGTAACATGTTAAGCAAATAAAATCGTTAAAGGAGCTCCGAGTGTCATTAAAAATTAAACATGTGCTTAGCAGCAGTAGTACTAGCCACTCTTTTGGCAATAACAATGGCATCCGAAAAGGAGAAGGTAAACCTGCCTGAAAGACAATTGAAGCTATCTCTGTATCAAGATGCTTGGAAAGTAAGTAAATGACTTTGTTCTGTTTAAGTTTTCAAGATATTATTTCGAAAATTAGTCTTCATTTTTTAAAGTGCCATGTTTCATTTAACGTCTAGGCTAACGGACTAAAAAGTGAAGCAAATTACTTAAAGGGACACTGACACCCCCCAAAATAAATTTTTTTAATTGTTTTGCCAGGAGATTTATTATGGTGTCAGAAGACTCCCCAATCAATATTTTGTTTCAGTGTCATATATTTTTAGTAAAGTAAAAAAAACTCAACTGCTCGAAACCGAAACCAAAGCTGGACTGGGGTAGAAGAAATATACCGGAGGAGAAAAATATTAAAACTCACGTGGCTGCGCAGTTTTTTTTTTTTGTTTTGTTTTTTTTAGTCAACGCATTTTTAGTTTTTTAGCAGCCACAAAAAAGGGGGTATCATAGTTTGTGTTAATTTCTATCATTGAGATTGTGTCTTCGATGACCCACGACTTTGATTATTATTGGTGGTTGTGTCTAAACCTTAGAAAACGGCCCGTGACCCCGGAGAAGAGAGTGAGCGCGACCCAAACGTGCCAGTTCTCGATCGGCAGTTTTCGAGAGGAAAGATAACGAATTTCGAGCCACAAATTGTGTTCTGGGTAGTCGGGCTCTGAAATGTCATGCACAAATAAAAACCTTGGCGAGCATAAATAACCTGTCCGGGTCCCTTTAAGAAAGCTGAAAAAAAAAATAGTCTCAGGCAACATATATATATATATATATATATATATATATATATACATAGTCCAAAATGCGTACTGTCGGCTAAAACCAAAATAAATACATATATATATATATATATATATATATATATATATATATATATATATATATATATATATTAACCCCCATAGTCAATGTCCAACTTGTCTGGGCTAGTTATCCTCTGAAGTGCTTCGCGCAAACAGTTCTGTACGTGTTTTTTTTGGCGATTGGCAGCTTTTGTTTCAGATTGTAAATTTTAAAAACAACCCAAGGTCTAGCTTCTTGCTCATTTCGTTGTTGCCTTTGTTTCAATCCTTTCATACAAGGCCCATGTGATTAAATGTTTTGCGTAAAACATTTGTCTTCGAATTTAACTCGAAATGTTAACTATTTATTTTAATATGATTGCGTAGTTGTCTTGTTTGAACAATGCAACAGAATAAAAAGAACAAAGTACTTGACCAAGCTTCTAGTAATACTAAATATAAAAATAAAAATTACAAAAATCGAACGCTCATGGCGCTAATCGAGTGCCGTGCTCGACGATCCTGGTAGTGGCAAACACCGGTTAGGGATGCGTTGCGGAAGTTCGCCATCGGCGAGTGACCAAAAGCAGGGGACTCATCTTGGCGGCCAGTCAATGCCTCCTCCAAGTTCATGTTCATTAATCCTCAAAACGCATCCGCAAGATAAAATACGCGAGAAGTAAGAGAATGAACAAACATACACCTAAAAACGCTTGAAGCAAAGCTACGCTTAGAAAACGAATTTTTCTTAGCAATTACAGTAATTTTTTGTAACTAGGATTCCGTGCTTTCGAAGTTTATTTCCCGTGAAATTCGGAGGATGTTTTGGGGAGTTTATTTTTGTTAGATTCTCAGTTTTTTTATATGCTTAGCTTTTTCTACTGTGTTCCCCATTTTCAGAATTGAAAAACAAAGTAACTAAATTCGGTAACCACGAACCGTTGTCCTGAACGAACCTTGACGAGCTAAACATTTCAAGATTCGGTATGAGACTAAAGTCGCATCGCCTCAGAACCACTTACTATCTGCTTTTGTGAAGTTGATTTGTAAAACAACGTTGTTGTTTTTTTCTTTTTATTTTACCGTTGTAACCTTCAAATTCAAATTTTTTTCAGATAAATCGGAATTCACAAAAACTTGACCGGCGAGTGTTTTTTTTTATTATTGTTTCGGATTTATACAAAATACGTAGCCTTTTTTATAGCAAACAAAAAGTATGCAACTTGCAAAATTATTGTTTCCTAAGTCACATTGTTAAAAGAAAAACTTTCCGCTTTTTCTTTGTTTGTTTTTTTGATAAAATACTTCATAGCACCCGGAATATGATGACCCCAGAAGCTTTGCCAAAGCCACGGTGAGAGACGTATCTGAACAAGGCCAGTTAAGGCGGCACATTTTTCTCGGGCTTCGCGCACCTCCCTGCAGGAGCAGTGTCGGTTAATGGTCTTTTGCGCAGGCGCGGTCGCACGTCACGTGTCCTTCAAAACGTATGCGTGACCGAGGGCGGTTTCTCAAGTCACTAGTCATGTTCCGCGTCATAGGGCGTCTGCCGGAAACGCCAAGGTGCTTTTCAGACACTTCTCTTCTTTAACTGTAACTGAGGTCACAGTAGCCATGGTCTAAGAACACACACAATTAATATTATCGTCAGGCGACTAATAAATATCTCGCAGCGCACTGCGCTTTGAGATGGTGCGCCAAGTACAAAGCAAGAATAACGGCGATTGTGTAGTACTTCACGCCACAGATGGAACTTCTATTGTCCGTAGGGAAAGTCAAAGAAAATCGTTTTGAAACCTACATCTAACACGCAAACATATAGTATCCGTCGGCGCATAACAGTGGAGCATAGCGCGGCCACAACAGGTAGAACACGTTTTTTTTTTCTTTTTTTGGCAAACAAACGTAATCTCTTTTTTTTTAATCGTCGCTTAAATAATAAACATATTTTAAATAGTGGATTCATACAATATATTACCTTCACAGCTATAGTTAATAAAGACAAACCTTTGTGCGAGTTTCTCCGACTTCCTTTATTAGAAAAATAGAGGAGATATAAGGTCAACATCTTTGTAGATTTAAATCCTCGAAGTTCTGTGGTCTTCCGCATTTCATGGTATTTGAAAGTGAACTTTTCGTTAAACGTCCACCTGGTTAGGTATTATGAAACTATAACAAAAGAGAACAAAATAAAAGGAGCAGAAAACATTAAAACAGAAAACAAAACATTGAAATGTAACGGTCGCCCCGTGCGATTTCAAAGACACCAGGCACATAGAAAACGATGACATCGGGCACTCTGGAAGACAACTACAGATCATAAACCGTCGCCAGTGATGAGGTGGATAGAAGGAGAGGTGTCAGAATCGCGCAGCTTGTTCGGAGTGCGCCGGTGCGCAAGTGTATCATGACGACGATAGGTGGCGCGCTTATCGACTCTGGGTCGAGTCTGCCTAGCTGAACGGAGCGGACGTGTTTGCGGCAACTCTTCCGAAGGTGTCCGAAGCTAAGAGCCTTTGGTGTTTCCTTTGTAGATTTTGCTCTAGCTTGTTTGAAATAATTGGCAAAGATTTAGGAACCGCTACGGTAGAAAGGCTAGTTTATTCCACCGGGAGGACACTAGAATAGTAAGGTTAGAGTAGGACTTCAATGTCATGTTTGGTGTTTTTTTTTTTTTTTAGCGTGCACGGAGTAGTCTGCATAGATTTTAGCAACCGCTAAGATAAAAAGTTAGGTTAGTTTAAGCCACTGGCAGACCACTACTAAGGGAAGATAGCGTAGAACTTTGGTTTTGTTTTCATTTGAAACAATATTTAATTTGCTTTGTTTTTTTAGCACGGTTTAAAGTAGTGGGCGCAATGGTTTGGCGCAGGAAACTCTGAAAGGGTGTTACAGCCTATTGTAATGTGGTGAGCGCATTCGCTAGGTGCATCTAGATGACACAGATTTTGAGAGCTTAGCGGAGGCAGAGGAGGGTAGCTTGGCTTGCCGTATCTGCGAGAGGGTGGCGATGGGATTTAAGTTGATAGAGTTTGAGTGGGTAGCTAGGGTTGAGAAGGTCAAACGTAAGTTTAAAGTAGAGCGAGAGAAGCGGGTGATCCTAGAGACTCAGGTCAAGGGGTTAGCTAGGAGGGAGGAACTCAAGGTATAGATTCAGGAGCTCATCAATGAATGGGAAAAAAAGGTGGAGCGTATGGTAGGCGAGCTTAGTGAGAAGCGAGAGTACCGGGTAAAGCTTGAGAGACAGGCGGAGGAGCTCAAGAAGTTGTAAGCGTGGAAGGCTGAGGTGGGGCACCGTAAAAGGGAGTGCGAAGCTGGATTGGAGCAGCTGAGGAGGGAGACGACAGCAAACGTAGCGGGAAGGCAGTCTAAAAAAAAAGACGCACTAGTGAGCATGTTGAAGTCAGCAGGACGGGGGTAGCTCCTTGACCCCACAGCGTTGTAGTGGCGCAGGTTACAGTGGGACAGTAAAGGACGCGGTGGTAAACCGGTAGACACAAAGAAGTGAGGTAAAGCAGATAGATGGAGGGAAACAGCCGCGAGGCAGGGACGGAGGAAAAGGGATTGAAGACAAGCAGTTCGAGGCTAATTGGGTACTAATGGGAGGAGTACTCAAACGTAACAAGGGTTAAAGCGGGTCTACTTGCGAGGTTCAAAGGGTACGGGAGGGCAAATGTAGTAGCCCAGTCAGGGAAGTGCATCGTAAACACTATTGCCAAAGCTAAGAAAGAGCTCTGGTGTAACATGAAGGGAGAGAACCTAGTAGTAGTGCATGCGAGACTCAATGATGTGTTGAATGGTAGGAGCCAGAACCTCGGCAGACACATAGAGGTTGGCGTACGTAAGAAGGAGGTCGCTGATGAGGGGTACCTCTGCAAATATGCACTATCCCAGAGGTCTGGGGAAAGCCTTTTCAAACAAAGCCGAGGTGGTGAAAGCTATCCAAATAATTAGGAGATGAGCTAACGACTTCAGTACGGGTATTAGAAGTAAACAGTGTGGTGTATGAGGCTGGCTCGGACCCTTTTGAATGGGGCATCAACTACCGTGGAGCCACAGGTAGCACGATAGGGGATAGGATTGGACGTAATGTCGTAAATGTTTGGTGGGTCCCGGAGCCCTACTGAATCCGGTGCAGATAAAGTTGAACTAGGAGAAGTACCAAAGAGTAAGCGACATTGAAAGTGTAAGATCAAGATACTTAGGTGCAAAGGTAGAACAGGTATAGCAAACATAAACATGAAGGAA